CGTGCCGCCCCGTTGGCAGGGGCTGCCGGACGGCGTGCCGGGGGAGCGCGGTGCCGGGCCGGCCACCTCGGGGGCTGCGCTCTGTTGCCGCATGAAGAAGGAGAGCCGGGAGGGCGTGGAGGGCTTCGGCACCGTCACCACTGAGGAGGTGTCCACGTTGGGGCTGCCGTGGCCTGTGGGCGACGGCACGGAGGGGGCTCAGTGCCGAGCCGAGACGCGGGGCAGCAGCCATGCAGCACGGCCCCCCACGGCCTTGGGGACCCCGGTACCGTACCCTTGGACCAGGTGGCATGCTCCTCCTCCCGCTCAGGCGGCGGCAGGCTCTCGGGACGGCAGCACCGTGGGATGAGGGAGAGGAACTTGGCGGCCGTCTTCCCATAGATGTCCAGGTCCCTGACCGCCCGCTTCTGGCTCAGCATGACGTGGCTGCAGGGCAGCAGGTACCTGGGGGGGCACGGGGCTGCACACGGGAGCCGCAGGTGGGGGCCACACGCAGGGGAACTACGCGCAGGGGAGCGGGACGTGGCTGGGGACGGGGAAGCCCCACTGGACCCCGACGCCTTCGGCAGCGAGGCAGAAGACGGGGCTGCCCCACGTGCGCGGCTGGGGGTGAGACCCCAGGCCGCGTCCCAGAGGAGCCTCCCTGGGCACGGGGCAGCGGCAGGTCGGCCCCCGCACCGGCAGCACAGGGCAGGTTACCTGAGCACCAGCTGGAGCATGACGTCCTCGCAGTTGAGGCTGAGCAGCGTCCGGAAGAGGCTCAGGGACACCATGCAGAGCTGGGGACAGGTCGGAGGTGAGGGAGCCGCAGTGGGGCAGGAGGGCAGCACCACGGCCGGGCGGTCCCATGGGGCAGCCCCACAGCGGGGCAGGAGGGCAGTGCCATGGCCGGGCAGGAGCTCAGGGGGCCGTGGGGACAGCCCAGCGCCTCTCACCCGGGAGTTGCTGTTGATGCGGCCCACGAGGGTGTCGAGGATGGTGCTGTTGTCGTGGCGGTGCAGCAGGACGAAGCGCAGGAAGGTTTTCAGCAGGGCGGTCTCGCTGACGCTGCGCAGGAACAGGTCCAGGTAGGCTGTGCTGGCAATCATCTCCTCGATGGAGGTCTGCGGGCAGCAGCGGCTCGGCGCGGGGCTGGGCCACGCGGGCACCCACAGGGGCTCCTGCCCACCCGCACAGGCAGAGGTACAGGCAGGAGACCTTCTGCCCAGGCCGGCAGGTAGCCCAGCGCCCATTGCGGGGAGGTCGCTCACCTTGTGCAGCGCCGGCCCCATGACGGGCACGAGGAACCCGTTGTGGACGTAGTCCACCAGCTG